TTCAGTCTTGGCACAAAATGAACCTGCCAGAGCTGCACCGTGCATATTGACCGGGGGGGGGGAGGGTAATGTATTGAATGGCAGCACTTTCATGAGCCTCGATGTTCCTCAAAGTGCTAATATTTCCTAGGGATTGCACTTCCTTCTGGACACTGATTGCAGAAACGTTAAGCCGTTGTTACTGCCTGCGATGTTCTGAAGCAATCCAGAGTAAGGGGGAAAACAGCCAGCAGGACTCACAAGTAGAACTGTCAATCAAACCATGACATAACTACCAGTTAGCAAGAGGGCCAGGGCCACTCGCGAAAAATGCATCAGATAAAAGAGCGTTCGGTGTCAGCGTGTCCGCCCAACACTACACTGTCAGCTACCAGGAAATCCAACAGAAAGTTATGTGAAAGGCACAACAGAGTAAAGTCGTCCTATTCTGAATGTACGAATGTTATGTTAGCCTTGTTTTCTGTCTCTTAATGGATTCTTTTTTTTCTGGCTGAACGGCAAGATGTCATGATCTGGGTCCCATCACAAGTGCTCTCTCCGTCCCTGTGCCTGAGTGTTAAAGCCAGCCTAATCTCATACGCTTGATAAGTAATTTATTTCGAAAGCCCAGCCATTCCCTTTTGTTTTAATTAATGCAGCAAAGCGAAGGAGGCCCTGCTAAAGATGCAGAGAGAGCGTGACTTCCATCGAATGCACCATAAGCGAGTGGTCCAAGAAAAGAACAGGCTGATTAATGATATTAAACGGTAAGTGATAACGACTGCGGTGACCTTGGATCCTAAACCCTGGTCCGTAACCCGTTTGTGTTTCAAACGTGACTTAAGGGAAATGCTTGTAACGAAACAGCCGTTCTATCGATTTGTTGTTGTTGTTCAGTCGCACAGTCCAGTCCGACTCTTGGACCAGATCACGCCAGGCCTTCCGGTCTTCCGCCGTCCTCTGAAGTTTGCTCAACTTCATGTTCGTTGCATCTGTGACACTTTCTAACCATCTCATCCTTTGCCGTCGCCATCTTCTTTGACCTTGAATCTTTCCCAGCATCAGGGTCTTCTCCAGTGAGTGCTCCCTTCTCATTTGGTGGCCAAAGTATTTGAGCTTCAGTTTCATTATCTGGCCTTCCAGGGAACAGTCAGGGTTGATTTCTTTGAGGATTGACTGATTTGTTCTTCTTGCAGTCCAAGGGACTCTCAAGAGTCTCCTCCAGCACCATAGTTCAAAAGAATCTATTCTTCGGCGCTCGGCCTTCCTTATAGTCCAACTCTCACAGCCATACATGACTACTGGGAATACCATTGCTTTGACCATGCGGACTTTTGTTGGCAGGGTGATGTCTCTACTTTTTATCATGCTGTTTAGGTTCGCCATCACTTTCCTCCCAAGGAAATCTTTTAATTTCATGGCTGCTGTCACAGTCTGCGGTGATCTGGGATCCCAGGAACGTGAAGTCTGTCACTACTTCCACGACTTCCCCTTCTATTTGCCAAGGAGTGATGGGGCCGGATGCCATGATCTTAGTTTTTTTGATGTTGAGCTTCAAGCCCACTTTTGCGCTCTCCTCTTTTACCCTGAGCAAGAGGCTCTTTAGGTCCTCTTCACTTTCTGCCATTAGAGTGGTATCGTCTGCATATCTGAGGTTGTTGATCTTTTCCCCAGCAATCTTAATTCCCGCTTGTGATTCATCCAGGCCAGCATTTCGCATGATGTACTCTGCATATATATTAAATAAGCAAGGCGACAATATACATCCTTGTCGTACTCCTTTTCCTATGCTGAACCAATCAGTTGTTCCATATCCGGTTCTAACTGTCGCTTCTTGGCCCTTATACAGGTTTCTCAAGAGACATGTGAGGTGGTCTGGTACTCCCATCTCTTTAAGGACCTGCCATAGTTTGTTGTGATCCACACAGTCAAAAGCTTTAGCATAGTCAATGAAGCAGAAGTAGATATTTTTCTGGTACTCTCTTGCTTTCTCCATAATCCAGCGAATGTTGGCAATTTGATCTCTAGTTCCTCTACCTCTTCGAAACCCAGCTTGTACTTCTGGTAGTTCTCTATCCACGTACTGTTGAAGCCTAGCTTGTAGGATCTTGAGCATGACCTTGCTAGCGTGTGATATGAGTGCAATTGTGCGATAGTTTGAACATTCCTTGGCATTGCCCTTCTTTGGGATTGGAATGTATACTGATCTTTTCCAATCCTGTGGCCACTGTTGCGTTTTCCAAATTTGCTGGCAAATGGAGTGCAGAACTTTAACAGCATCATCTTCTAAGACTTTGAATAGCTCAGCTGGAATACCATCACCTCCACTAGCTTTGTTGTTAGTAATGCTTTCTAAGGCCCATTTAACTTCACATTCCAGGATGTCTGGCTCGAGGTCAGTGATTATACCGTCGTGGTTGTCAAGGACATCGAGGTCTTTCTTGTATAGTTCTTCTGTGTATTCTTGCCATCTTTTCCTAATCTCTTCTGCTTCTGTTAGGTCCCTACCGTTTTTGTCCTTTATCATGGCCAGCTTTGCATGGAACGCTCCCTTGATTTCTCCAATTTTCTTGAAGAGATCTCTAGTCCTTCCCATTCTATTGTTTTCTTCTATTACTTTGCACTGTTCATTCAGGAAGGCCTCCTTATCTCTCCTTGCTGTTCTCTGGAAATCTGCGTTCAGTTGGGTAAATCTTTCCTTTTCGCCTTTGCCTTTCGCTTTCCTTCTTTCCTCTGCTATTTGTAAAGCCTCATCAGAAAGCCACTTTGCTTTCTTACATTTCTTTTTCTTTGGGATGGTGGTGATTGCTGCCTCCTGTACAATGTCACGAACCTCCGTCCATAGTTCTTCAGGCACTCTATCTATCAAATCCAGACCCTTGAATCTATTCTTCACCTCTACTGTATATTCATCAGGGATGCGATCTAGGTCAAACCTGAATGGCCTCGTGGTTTTCCCAATTTTCTTCAGTTTAAGTCTGAATTTTGCAATGAGTAGCTCATGATCTGAACCACAGTCAGCTCCAGGTCTTGTTTTTACTGACTGGATAGAGCTTCTCCATCTTTGACTGCAAATTATATAGTCAATCTGATTTCGGTGTTGCCCATCTGGTGATGTCCATGTGTAGAGTCGCCTCTTAGGTTGTTGGAAAAGGGTGTTCGCTATGACCAGTGTGTTCTCTTGACAAAACTCTGTTAACCTTTGCCCTGCTTCATTTTGCTTTCCAAGGCCAAACTTGTCTGTTATTCCAGTTACCTTTTGACTTCCTACTTTAGCATTCCAGTCCCCTATGATGATGAGGACATCATTTTTTGGTGTTAGTTCTAGGAGGTGTTGTAGGTCTTCATAGAACCGGTCCACTTCAGCCTCTTCTGCATCAGTGGTTGGGGCATAGACTTGGATTACTGTGATGTTGAATGGTTTGCCTTGGAATCGGACCGAAATCATTCTGTCATTTTTGAGATTGTATCCCAGTACTGACTTTTGCACTCTCTTGTTGACTATAAAGGCCACACCATTTTTTCTACGAGATTCCTGGCCACAGTAGTATATATAATGGTCTTCTGAGTTAAATTCGCCCATTCCTGCCCACTTTAGTTCACTGATTCCTAAGATATCGATGTTCAGTCTTGCCATCTCATTTTTTACCATGTCAAGCTTACCTTGATTCATTACCTTGATTCATAGATCTTACATTCCAGGTTCCTATGCAGTATTGTTCTTTGCAGCATCGGACTTTCCTTTCGCCATCAGACACATCCACAACTGAGCGTCCTTTCGGCTTTGGCCCAGCCGCTTCACTCTTTCTGGGGTTACTTGTACTTGCCCTCTGCTCTTCCCCAGTAGCATATTGGACACCTTCCGACCTGAGGGGCTCATCTTCCAGCGTCATATCTTTTAGCCTTTTGATACTGTCCATGGGGCTTTCTTGCCAAAGATACTGGAGTGGGTTGCCATTACCTTCTCCAGGGGATCACGCTTGGTCTGAGTTCTCTGCTGTGGCCTGTCCGTCTTGGGTGGCCCTCCACGGCATAGCCCATAGCCTCATCGAACCACGCAAGCCCCCTCGCCTCGACAAGGCAGTGATCCATGAGGGGGAAAGAATTCCTCCAACTTCTGATTACCAGCACAGCTTCGCAGAACTGGAGGAAAAGTAGAAATTGAAGTTGTGAAGTGTGATGGTACTGCTGATACGGAACTTTCTGCTGCTGAATGAGTATACGGGCTATCGGTTAAAGTCGCTGTTTGTCATATTGAGTGCAAAGATGGCTTAATTCTGCACACCTGCAGCTTCAGAAACGCTTTGTTGCGAAGATTCAGGGTGTTTCCGCTGGGGTTATTTGCCCCGGCTTCGATGTTGTAGGGAGCCCCCCCCCCCCGCTTCCCAGCAGCAGTGTGGTGCATTTGTGCACCCCTCCGCCACCATCCCGATTGGGGCGGAAACTGGAATGGCGTCTGGTGATGATGGTATGTAGGCTGATGTCCAAGAGGGTGTTGGCTTCCCTGTTTTAGGTGGGATAAAGTTATCCCTATCCGATCCGGTAAAGGGTCTTTAGATCATTTTTGGCCCTCTGTTATTCTTGGAGGAAGAGATTCAAGCAGTAACAGTTACGTCTGATTGTCCTCTGTTATAGACTCAGCCAATCCGGCTACCCTGATCCGTGCTTCTCTAACTTCACAGTTAGGTCACTGAAACAGACTCTGAGTGCCAACTTGAAAAGTTCAATCGGTACAAAATGAGCTTGCTTGATTTTTGACCCTCTCTGCCACCGTGTGCTCATAAGCCCTGCGCTTAAAACGTTTTGCTGATTGCTGGGTTGCTTCTGGGTGTGATTCAAAATCCTGGTTGTCACCTTTACAGCCTTTCACGATGTAGAGCCCACGTTGCCTGAACGGTCACCCTCCCTGCAGTGGACTTGTGTGCAGCCTTTTGGGTCTTTGCTGTTGATGGCTTCCGCCATTTTTATCCTCCTGGTATCCCGTTAGGAGTCGGGCGTGTTCTTGTGCAGCACCAGCCCTGCTCCAGCCTGCCTGTGTTTGTGTGCCTGGCTTAATCTCCTGGCAGGTGGCTTGCAGAACGTGTCTCTGACAAAAGGGTTTTGCAGAATAATTAGTATTCATTTCTGCTACTTAATGCCGTTGATTATATTTTGGAGCACAGTGTTGTTTCTCCAGGTATTTAGTTTTGGTGGGATTATTGCACATTTCTTAGTAGATTGTGTTCTGCATAATTTTTATGCCATTATTTTTGCTAGCTGCCTTGAGGTTTTCTGGGATCGGTAAGCTATGAACATTTGAAGATAAGGTCAAGTCCATGCACTGAGGTGGCACCAGAGCCTTTGTTCTTGGGGCTTTCTCGTGACAAGGCCTGACAGCATGGGTACCTGTGTTGTCATATCACTCTTCCCATTTTGATTGCAACTTCTTACAAGAGCCAGTTTGGTGTCGTGGTTAGGAGTGCGGACTCTAATCTGGGAGAACCGGGTTTGATTCCCTACTTCTCCACATGCAGCCAGCTGCTGTGATCTTGGGTCAGTCACAAGTTCTCTCAGAGCTGTTCTCTCAGGGGCAGTTCTCCAGAGAGCTCTCTCAGCCCCACCTACCTCACAGAGTGTCTACTGCAGGGAGAGGAAGGGAAAGGAGATTGTAAGCCTCTCTGAGACTCCTTTGGGTAGAGAAGGGCCATGGGGTATAAATCTAATCTCTTCTTCTCTCCCCCCCCCCTCTGAATTCTGAGGTGGAAATTAAAAATTTTAGTCTTGTCAAATGACTAAAACATTATGTTGTCGAACATTTCTAAACGTTTTGATGTGAAATATACAGTGGATATACACCTCAAAGCTTGTAATGACAGCCTGGGTGGCTGGTTTCCACTGTAATTAATATTTTGGAAACTCACCTTGTACTTGATGTCTGGAAACCAATACATTTTTTGGCTGTCAAATTATGTGTGTGCGTGTGTGTGTTTGTTTTTGCCAAAGACATGAGATTCTTCTACAAGACAGAAGCAAATTTCACTAAGGATACTTTGATGATAGACCCACGTGGTCACAGCCGTGTGGGTCTGAAGCCGCAGGACAAATTTAGAGTCTGGTGGGGGCACCTTTGAGACCAACAAAGGATTATTCCAAGGTGTGAGCTTTTGTGTGCAAGGCACACTTCTTCAAATACGCTGGAATGAACCTCATCTGCCATTTCGGTGTATTTGGAAAAGCATGCCTTGCACACGGAAGCTGAGACTTTGATGATTAGGGGAATTATGGGGGGGGGGATATTTGGCAGATACCTTTGCAAAGGCTTGGTTGCTAGCAATAAGGATTCTGCAGATGAGAGGCCTTTTGGCTCTGGCAGCATTGGAGAGGGTGAGATGCTAAGGAATATTGCTTTTCTCTTGCGTCGTGACCTTTCTGTTATTTTTCACACCCCTTTCTTGTTTGTAGGCTGAAAGCACATTATGCATCATATGAGCCAATGTTACAGCAGCTGAATGAAAAATACGAGACTCTGTTGAGGCAGAAGATGCTAACCAGCCTGGAAAGAGACAGAGCTGTTGGGCAGGTACAGCTTCAATCACTCTTGACCTACAGGTTCACGCAGACCCTCAGCTGTTAGCTTTATTAGATTATAATCATAGGTTTAAGTTTCCGTTCTGTGTTATCATGGAAACTCGGAGTGGGCCACAAACGAACCCTATACGTATATAATGTCTGCCGAAATAGATCTGATCTCAGAAGTTTTGAATTTTTCCTGGACGCCAAGTACTCATGTTTTGAAACTGCTTGCTCATGTATCTGAAAGTATAATGAAGATATGATCGTAGGGGAAAAGCCTTTCTGCAAAGCAAAAAAAGCCGGAGGCCTCTGCTTGTGGGTGCAGACTGCTAGATGTGTCCTTTTGAAGCAATTCATTTCTGGATTTTTTGTGATATTTTGAAATCTGATTTTTTTAAAGAAACAGAAGAGTTGAAACCGGCCAGCCTTTCTTGCCAGGGGATCGCTTGCTCCCAGGGGTGGATCCAGCCACGTGCTTCTGCTGAGTCTGAAGCCTCCCATCAGCTTCTGTGGCCCGGCACAGGAGGGGGAAGAGGAGGCTCCTCAGGCGGGAGGAGAGCTTCAAGCCTTTCTCTGCAGAGTGGCAGGATCCACCTCACTGAATTTAATGGAAGCCGTTCAGCAGTAGGTCTTGGTGGAATTTGCAAGCGTTGATAACCTCACACGTCATTGTGCTGTGCGTAGTCATGCGCTCACAGCCACTCCGCATGTTTCTCAGATGTGTCAGTGCCTTTGCTCCGAGGGCTCTGCCTTGTGTGCCTGTGTGTGCCTTTGTGTCCCTGTGTGTTTCCATCTCCCCACGTGGGGACAGAGTGTGACCTCCCTCTGGCCAGGTCTCCTGTGGTGCAGCCCAGAGCCTGGGAGGGGCAGGGAGGCCAGGGTGGCTCCTGGGTTGTCACAGGTCTCCTCGTTGCTCAGAGCATTAGAAAGAGCCCTGCTGAGAAGCTCCCCCTGACTGAGTCCCTTCAGGCTACCAGGTCAAGACCCACAGTGAGCCTGGCACCCCCTTGGCTCCCCAGTTGAAACGGGGGAGGTGGGGAAGGGAAGGTTGGGCAAGGAACCCCTGGTTTCTGGTGTCCTTCGTGAAGTGCTCCTGAGAGAGTGGAAACATGGTCCAGGTTTATAAGATCATGCCTGGGACAGAGCAGGTGGAGAGAGAGAAGTCCTTTTCTCCCTCTCTCACCATACAAGGACTCCTTGTGGGCACTCCATGACATTGCTGAGCGGTCGGGTTAGAACGGATAAGAAGAAGTCCTTCTTCACCCAAAGAGTGATGAACACATGGAATTCACTGCCACAGGAGGTGGTGGCGGTGGCTACAAGCATGGACGGCTTCAAGAGGGAATTGGATAAACATATGGAGCAGAGGTCCATCAGTGGCTATGAGCCACAAGGTATAGATAGGAACTCAATGGGTTTGGGGGGGCAAGTGAGGCTCTGTATTCTTGGTGCTTCGGGGGTGGGGGTAGCAGTGGGAGGGCTCCTCATGTCCAGGCCCCACTGCTGGACCTCCCGATGGCACCTTGTATCTTTGGCCACTGTGTGACACGGAGTGTTGGAATGGATGGGCCACTGGCCTGATCCAGCATTGGCTCCACTTATGTTCTTATGTTCTTAACATCCATTTCCCTCTCAGTCTGACTCAGTATCTGAGTAAGTTATGTAATGTGAAGGGAAGCGGAGCTGTCGTTGAGTGCCCTTTTGGGTTCTGATCTCACAGACGTATTTTACACTTGTTTTATGTATCGTTTCTCATTGCCTTGGAGAGGAGAAATGGAAGGGCTCAGAATGGCTTTCTCTCTTCCCTCTTCTTGTCCAGGTCACTGGCTTGCGAGCCACCTTGCAAAGTCTAGAACCCGGAAGCAACATACAGATATCGATGTTGAGAGGTAAACATTCTCCTGTAGGGTGGAAGCCCAAGGCTCGGCAGGAAGCGCCTGCAGTCTGCCAGGGGACCCGCGGCCCATTTCCACGGAAGGACTGCTGCAGAACGCCACAAGGCCTTATCCCCCCCCACTGCCCCCCTTGCAGGAGGGGCACACGGGAACTGCCCAGGCCATCTGCGTTGCCGCCCCTGCTCCCTGCCCCTTTCCTGGATCCAGCCGTTGTGCCAGAAGGCACGGGGGGCGGGGGCAGCGACCCTGCCTGCATCCTGGACCCTGGGGGGTGGGGTTGCCCCAGCCCCAGACACCCAGCCCGGCAGGGGAGGCTCTGCACTCACGGACTGTGAGCCAGAAGGCATGGGGGCAGCGGACCTGCCTGATGGAGCCCCCAGAGCGGCTCCGGACCCTATTAGGACCCAGAGGCACCCTCCCCCTCTCACAGAATCATTGAGTTGGAAGGGGCCATACAGACCCTCTCGTCCTTTCTCTGCAAACACTGCAGCAGAGCTACAGTGAAGGGCTCTCTGATCAGCTGGGGAGAGGCCTGGCTACAGAAGTGGAGGGTGTGGCCCCACCCATTGGCTGCACCCCAGATCGAAGGCACCAATGCTCCCTCTAAGCTGTGGAGTCTTGTGAGCAAAAATTCTGCTTTGTGAGCCACTGGCATGAAAGCTGTGAGCCACTAGGCATTAAAGCTGCATAAACTCGTTTGCTCTGGAGCCCTCCTTCCTGAGCAAAGACAAAAAATGTGTGAGCCAGAGGCTAAAAAATGGTGAGCTAGCTCACACTCACTCGGCTTAGAGGGAACACTGGAAGGCACCTGTCATATACCTGAACTGAAGATGCCCCCCTCCCCATTTTAGAGAGCAAAAAATGCTTTGAAACCTTATCTCGCTTTTGAGCCACTACAGCACCTGTAAGAGTTCTGGGAAACACACAAATGCCCTCTAACCACACTATACCACACTGGCTCTCAGGAGCTTATTGTTAATCGAGGGGAAACAAATCCTGGCCGTGTGCCCTTCCCGTGTTTGTTGTCAGCCTTGGCTGTGTGTGCAGAGTGGCTCTTTTGGTGTAAAATACAAAATTTCCCATCCCCCAAATCCCTGCTCCTATTGCCAACCGGAGATCAGGTTCGGGAAGCAGGACTGCTGTGCTTCAAACCACAGCGCAGGCAGAGTGGCACAGGGCTGTGCCGTAGGTCTCCTTTCCTAATACGTGCTGTTTTACAGCATGCAGTGATTAGTCGCAGAGTGAATGAGAACTTTACCTTTGGCCATTGCTGTGGAGGAGAAGGAGCCATCCCTCTGTTTCCCCCACACCCTGCTGGTGTTACTGGAGCCTACGTAGCCTTTGCCAAACAGTTCGTCTCATAAGGAACAGAAAATGGAGCTGTTTGAGCATCTTCCTCAGTTGTGGTGTCTCCAAAGCATAATTAGCAGTTCTATCACAGAACAGGCG